AATTTAGTTCATCGATTTAAAGCCTTATCCATAAGTGAATCTACAATTTTATAGATCTCCCAAACGATTTTACTTCAAACATGAGAACGCATGACTTAGGGAAGTTTCTTGGGGAGGAATATTAGTTCTATGGCCCTGGCTTAAAAGCCTTGTTACTACTAGTCCCCTTGCGACGCTACTCTGTCTAAGGAGTTGGTATTTAACCGAGCTTCGTCTCGACCAACTTTCCTGGGAGTATACCTAATAATTGTATATCATGTGTTGGTTTAATTCGTTTGTTAGGCTTTAACTTCTCCTTTTGCCAAGTGATTACAATTTTTGGATTAATTAAAGAGTAGCCACAGCATCTTTAACTTACTAAAAATTGTCTAAAGTTCAAATCACATAAAGATGGCAAGGATAAATGTCTAGTGATCCTATAATTTTAATTAGTTGGGGAGTAGCCACGACATCCTTAATAAGTTAAAATTATATATTGAGTTGTTGGGTCACATAAAATTTGATAAATGTCTAGTGATCCTATAATTTTAATTAGTTGGGGAGTAGCCACAGCATCCTTAATCAGTTAAAATTAGTTGTTACGGTCACATAAAGGTTTAGACACATCAATTGTGATTAATTGTATGTAATATGCTGGAATTTAGCCCACAGGCAATTTCGTTATATTTGTATGATTAATTAGGATGAAATACTGAACTATGATCATAATTTAGCCCACAGGCAATTATGTATCGGAATGTAGTTTAGTAGTTTTATCAGTGGGATAGGAATAAAGAATTTTATAATTTTTACTTCTATCATGAAGCTTAATTTTATGATGTAAACTTTAGGTCATATATCTTAATTTGCCCACAGGGATTAAGATAAGGAACATGATCTCTTAAGTTTTTTCTTATAATAGTTGTAATGAATCTAATTGAATTAAAACTTTAGCCCACAGGCAAGTTTTTATGTCACTTGATTCTTCAACTCATTTGATAATTGTTCCATCATAAAATTTCAGTTGGATCTTATTGAGTAAAACTTTAGCCCACAGGCAAGTTTTATGTCACTAGATTCTTCTGGCCATTTAGTAATTGAGATAAAATACTATCATAAGTGATTAATTGAATTTAATAGAATTAAAACTTTAGCCCACAGGCAAGTTTTATGTCAATAAATTCATCAACGCATTAGATAATAACTTTATCCCAATTTCTTAGAATTTATAAATTTAGTTCAATTATAATTCTAAGTTTCATGGTTTGCATTGGCAAAACATGTATTTAGTCACTTTCCAAAATTTAGATACACCTTTTATTAATTATTTTTCACGAAGCTTACTTGGTTATTTGGACTAACTATAGTAAGTTGCGTGGTATGATATACCTCTTTTGGATTCCAATAATAAAATATATCTTCTGAGCCGAATTCCAACTTGGTTTTGGAAGGCGTATTTTATTATTTTAGTATGTCCAACTATGGTGGAGAATCGTGTCCTCATTATTTATTCATTTAGTTGGACTATAATTGGAACCAAATATTGATTATTTAGTATGCCCAACTAATGGTGGGGAATTATATCTTCATTATTTAGTTGGTCAAATCAATTATGAGTGTTATATCATTAATTTGGCTAAAGAATATCTTAATCAGTGGGAGTGATCATTTAGAAAAAGATCATTAAAATACTCCATTAAAGCTGATGGATTTAATTGTTTTCATACATTCCAAATTGGATTGTGCGTCTAGCAATAAGTCCAAAAGTTTTCACAAGTATTAATTTAGTCTTTTGTTCTTATAATTCATAAGTTCATTTCATTGAACGTTTGGTTGTACAACATATTTATGAAAATGTTGTAACAATATTAATGAATTTATTAGAACGTAAACATTTAACTTGTGGTGCATTGTCAATTAATAAATTCTTTAGCAATTAACAAAGTCTTTAATTTCTTCAAAATTGATCCTGGGCCATTTTTGGTTTGTAAGGCTCAAAACAATTTTGTAAGACATAATAAGACTCGTAATGTTCAATTAATTTTGAGGTGGACCTTGAGATTATTTGGGAAGTTGGTATATGTTTAAGATTCCAAATTATTGACTTAGACCTAGTTTATGTTATTGGAATGTTTCTGTGACTTGACTATCTTTTGGGCTATCTTAATGAGTGGGAGTGACAGACGTGTCAACTCCAAACTCTTAGCCGTTAGAGGTAGTGTTTATGTAAACTTGAAGTCATAGAATATAGTTAGCATTATATAGGCTAACATTAAGAGATCTCTACTTAAGGCATGCTTCTAAGATTTTAGAGATCATACAGTGAATTTGGATGGTTTCTTCTTTCAGTTGTGCACATAATATATTTTGAGAAACATCCCTTAAGGGACTAAGAATAAACGTAGGGTTTATTCATAAAGAACGTAAGTTAGGGAATTTAAATGCATGTGATCATAGTAGATATTACTCACTTGATTAGTAGATGACATATTACTATGGTTCCTGTATTTTGTTCTTTAATAAAGGTTGCGCTAGTACTTGCACCAAGTGGGAGAATGTAAGTATTTTCCCTGTATACAATATATTATAATATATAATATATTGTATTATTGGGTGGTTGTGGTGCAAGTAGGAAGATTAAGTCAGTTAGTGGCTTAATCTGTTAGGCAATTCAGGATATTCAGTTTAGGATTAACTGAATATCTGCCTACATTGATGGCATGTAGGCTTCTAAGAAAAATAGTCCTCCCACAGCTCCCGAGTTCAGGATACACGCACCATCGAGTATTCGGGAGAGAAGTGGTAGACAAAACACTTTCTACAAGTTTACCATTCCAGAGGCAATTTCCACAACTATGGCTGGGGATATTCGGGCGATCCTAAAGCTTCCGCTGCAACGAGGCAGGTTACTCGTTTACTACAGTTCATGTTAGTCTAAATTTATTATCTAACATTTAAATCAATGCATCTTAAAGTGATATGTCGCGCACTTTAATTGGTTTTTCGACGCACTTTAAACTCTTGGCATTTAAAAATCTTTTCCTTTCGCTGCAACTTAATTAAAAAGTACATATACATGCATATTGTACTTTTATTTCGCACATGTAACAGAGCAAACCAAAGCACATTAACTCTTTTTACCAATCCCTCTTTAAGTAATATTCAAGGTTATTTGTTGTCAGCACTTTAAGGCATTTGTAGTTGGGGAAATGGATAACATTGAATGGTCATTCAATGCTTTAAAAAACGCACCCATTAAAGGAAATCTTGAAAAATCTAATGCGTTTGTCATTCACGCAACATTGAGTTCTCAAATCAGTGCATGTGACCAAGTTATTCGCCTATAAATGAGAAGGAACACCATACAACTGAGCATCAAGTTTAATTGAAATGGCTTTCTCTCACGTTTCCTCACCTATAGAAGAACCCTCATCATTCATTCCTCCTCTTATTATTCTTCTTCCTGTTCATAATCTATGTCCTGCTCATATTCCTCACCCTCCAGCTTGTAGTGATTGTAACTAACTACAAAAACAACACACTATAAACCTGAAACATCATTCGTCATTCTCAGCTTCAAGCTCATCATGCTGCAACCAAACATCATCCAAGGCTGAGAGTTTAGCATTTTAGCAGGCTTGCAGCGTGTCGAATGCTGCCGAAACCAGAAGAAATGTCTTCAAAGTACTAAAAACCATGCACTGAATGTGTTTGGTTTTGTTTCAATGTGTATTTACATTTACAAATACTAGCATATTGGAGTGTAAATTATTATTGCATGCACCGAAGTTTTAATATAGAAACCAACGCACATTGTGTTCCCATATTACGCATCTTAAATTCATATGTCTCGCACGTTAAATGCAAATCATAAACGACTAAATCGATCATGTATTTGGCATTTTATTTGCAAATTATTTCATAAACAAACAAACGCACTTTAAGTTTTGAAATCACGCATCTTAGACTAATTTGTAACGCATCTTAAATTAACACATAAATAAAGAAAAAACGATTGTTAAACATTCTTTCTACAATAAATAAATGGATGAGCCCGTTGGCGAAATGGTAGAAGTCTTTGCACATATTGATTACACCTAGGATTGGATCCTTTTAAAGATTTAATTTTTTTTTTCCAATAAAGAATGTTAGAGTATTAATCAAACAAATGTGCACACCAAGGGATATTGTCTTTGGGTTGCAGGAATAACTCGTCGCACATTAAGGATTTAGCAATTGCAAGTTTTTCATTTGATACAAGACATTGATTATACAATCTAACGCACATTATGACTTAACCATATGCATGCTAAAGTATTTCTCTGCGCATATTGATGAATAAATCACGCATATTCGTTAAAATATTCCCCACGCCCATTGAAATATTATTATACGCACATTAAAGTATTTCTGCCTACATATTAAGTTATACATACACGCACATTGTACTGTTAACAATTAAGCATACTCATAATATTTAAAGTCATTGTTCAATAGTAAAACTAACATAGTTTAAGATTTAATTCCACGCACTTAAATAATTAATGACAAGCACTTTAAACTATTATACCACTCACCCCAATGCAAATCGGGTTTGGGAGACACAAATCAGTGAAAAAACAAAAGTAGTGAATTTTAAACATTAAAATGAAGTATCTCAAGGAGTAAAATCACGCACCTTAAGGATTACAATGAGTCAACTAAGTATGTGTGTTACATATTTTTTATTTATTTTCATTCTCAACTGTGAAAGCATTCTAAAAATGGTCTATTATGCCTGTTTCTTACCCTTTTGTTTGTCCTTATTTTTGGAGTTAAGTGGGAAAGTCCTGGTGTCATGTTGTTCTCCTCTAACCCCACAAAAATTGCACCTCCTGCCTTTTTTCTTTTTCCATTGACAACTCCTTGCTGCTTTTGATACGTTTCCCGCTGCCCTTGTTCTTCGCGCATGCTTTGGGGGAAGTATATTGATGTCCTAAATCTCTATTGATCTGCAAAAGGATTCTATAACAATCTTCCTGCTATGCTGAGGGGATAACTTTTTCCTTTCCTAACATCGGGAGCTGTTTTTGTTCATTAATCACTTGCGAAAATGCAGTCAATTGCTCCATGTTTGAACCTGCCAGATAAATACAACAGTGTAAATCAGCCCATAGTTTGTTCAGCAACACCTTCTTTTCATCCTTTGGTCTATTCTGATCATAAATGACACCATCAATTTCACATGTAGCTTTTAAAGATGCATCCTTAGTCCATCGATTATCCACATACTTTAGTCGTATCTTTTCAAGGTCTTTATAGACCACAAATATGCGTCTACACAACAGTTCAACCATCTTAAACATCTTGCAACTACATGTGGCCTCATGTTCATTCACATTGTGCACCACACTAAATGTTTTATCCTTTCCATCCATAATCAAATAGTGTAATATTCCAGCATCTTCTCTAACACTCAACACCCTACATTTGAAATAGGAAGCACATATTTCAGCCTGAACTTTATAGAAAATAGTAATGGTGTAGACAATTGAAGCATGTTTTTCGATCCCCAACGATGTCCTCATATTTGGGTTGTAACCTTCATTGTCACTGTTGAGTTTTGCATTAGTGTTACGCTGTGATTTAAGAGCAGTGTCCAAGTTCATCATGAATTCAACTAGGCTAGACTGCGGGCCCGTAAAACGGTTGTATGTGTAGTTCTCACTTTTAGAACGCGACATTGTCCTGAGTAGACCTCCCATAAAAACATCCCTAAAATAGGCTGGGATCCAAAGGTTTCTTACCTCAAACATATTGGTAAACCAATTGTGTTCAACAAGGTTGAAATTTTCCATCAGTTGTTTCCATTGTGTCTCAAAATTAGCAGGTTCCAAAAAAGATATCCAAACAATGGAGTTCAGTTTGTTCTTAAACCCCTCATTCTTGTTCAATGTAGGACCAACCTTTTCTCCAACTTTACACATAATGTGCCACATGCAATAACGATGCCTAGCTTGCTTGAAAACTCTTGGAATTGCCACTTTCATAGCTGGATCCTGACCAATAACAATTATCCTTGGAAATACCCATTGCCTTTTTAAATTTTTCAAATAGCCAAACGTAAGACTCGACGTCCTCTTTCAGCAACAGTCCAGCACCAAATGTGATACATTTTTTATGGTTATCAACTCATGTGAAGGGTGTAAAAACCAGATCGTACCTGTGATACAAGCCAAAAAAAAAAAAAATAGACATCACAGTATACAAGAGTTAAACTCACGCACTTAAAGAATTATTTTGAATCACATTAAGTTTTAAATTTGCGCACATATGTCGTTGCAGTTTCAATTCAGAGTGATGCAACCTAAGGTGCGTGATATTAATGTTTAAAGTGCGCGATATCAATGGTCAATCTGCGTTTATTTATATTAAGCACTCAGTGACCATGTCTAAATCATAACGTGACTAAACTTACAATGTAATGTTTAATGTGAGTTAATTAATGAAACATATGTAAGCACGTTAATAGAATAATACATGTTGGTTGAATATGTAGCATCAAAAGAGACAACATCTCCAAATGCAGCAAAATTCTTTTTTGAGACTGGATTTGCCCAAAATAATCTACTCATCTGCTCATCTTCATCAACTTCATACTCAAAAGCAAACGCGGGGCACATCTCTTGTTTTTTAACAAGATTATGCACCAGTATTTGTGCATCAGCACCCAATATGAAGTCTCTGAGATCCCTTCTGACATTTTTAAAGCCAACAACAGTTGGCCCAACCTCAGAGTAATCCCCCACAATTTGACTATACAAACCGTGTGATTTTGATGCCCCAATATTTGCTTTAGCACAATCTAATATAAATTTCTGATGCGCAGCAGAGATGTTTCTGTTTCCCTTTAGGAACTGCCTTGCAAGGACTGAAGACATGCTATGATTATGTTTTTCAATAAATGTCTTAACCTCATACCCAGCACTTCAATTCCAATGTACTTAAAAACAATCCTAGCTCTGCATCCAGTTTTGTTTGAAACCCTCCTCCGCTTTGGATTGGAAGGAACTTCCCCCACATCTACATTTGATTTGGAGTGACAATTTTGAGCACCTGAATTCTTAAATTTTTCTCTACTGCAAATGATTTGCTTTAGAGTTATCGTCTCGTCGTGTGCTTTAACGTGAGAACTAGACCTCGTGTCAAATCCAACTTTGGCAGCATAATTCTTGTAATATTCAATGCCAACATCCAATGTTTTGAAAGTCATGTCAACCAGTGGCCTGATCTTATCTTCACAGTGCAGAGTCCAATACTGTGTCATTCTAGGAGATATGGTTAAGGTATAATCATTGATGCTACTGCTAGGACTCAAACTGAGGTTGTTTGAAGATTGCAAGTCACTGGGAACTGTAACAGACAAGCATGATGTTATAAGTGCATGGTTGTAAGCCTCTACGTGTATATTGTGGATGCTTAATATGCGTTAATTTAATCACTTTAGGGCAATCTCTCAGGTTTTATATTGACACATTTATGTGCGGTAAGTGACTACTTAACGTGCGTCAGGGAAACACTTAACGTGCGTAAATTTAACAGTAAACGTGTGTAAGTCTTTTTTTAAAATGTTATGTGATTAATTAATGTGCGTCAGGGAAACACTTAACGTGCATAAGCTTAACAGTTAACATGCGTAACTGTTTTTTAAAATGCTAGGTGATTACTTAACGTGCATCAGCGAAACCCTTAACATGCGTATGTGTAAAACTTAAACATCGTTATATGACATCTTAAGATGCAGCTACATAATGCTTTATGTGCGCCAGTGTATTGGGCGCAGAATCTAAATTGATTAATTCAGTACCTAATTTGCATGTGTTTAGTACTTTATGTGCGCCAAATTAAGATGAGAAGGGGGTCATTACAACAGTAGCTACAATTAATTTGAATTAGCGATTGGAGAATACTTTGATCTAATTCTTCCATTGTTGATCAGTTGAAGTTGTTCTTCACTTTAAATCTTCTTTGATGAACGAGCAACTGAACGCAGAGATCGCAATTTGATCGAGATCGCAAATAGACTGAGATTAGTAAACATCGAAGATTAGAAATCCATGGGGAATTTGGAAAAAACGCAGAGATACAGTTTGAAGAAGATGATCAAAAATCTAATTTTATTACGAACAAAAGGACAAAAACGCCTTTAATGAGCCGTTCGCGTTAAAATTTCGCTGAAAATCTTCTCCGTTGGATCAAGACTTACGTAAGGCTTAGATTAAACCTCATTTTTTACAGGAGCTACTATATACACGTGAGCCATTCCCTATATATATATATATATATATATATATATATATATATATATATATATATATATATATATATATATAGGGTTGCATTCAAATACAAACCCCCTTAAAATACAAATGTGTGGACATACTCTAGCCACAAGATGTGATTAGATAAATGGCCTAGATGAAGGTTGATTACTCTCACACGGATTCACAATTAATGTAGAGAAGGGTAATATAGGGAATGCATGGACACTATTTAAACGGAAGAATATTGATCAGAAAAGGAATAGAATTCATTGGTATGATATGCTACTACAAAGGAAGTTTAAATTGGGTAGGATTTGAAGACATCCCATCACTGCCACTCGAAACCTCTGTACGAACGGAAAAAATTACGACCGTGCACCCATGGATGATAGAACAGGCCCCATTCAATACGACGCCATACCGGATTCCATGGAGGCTCTGAACCCAGGTAAGTACAGTGTATATCGTTTGTAGTTTGAGTGGCAACGCACGGCGTGTGTTTTTAATTATTTTACGAGTAAAAATAAAAGCATATTTGAATAGGGCCATACTCAAGATTGAATTTTTTATGCGAACTCTATTTATAATTCTCCAAACTTAGCAACTACGGAGTAGGTTTAACGTTCGGGACGAGGTTGTGACGTTCATGCCATAAGAGTGCACACGTTAAAAATCGCCCATGCACACACATGCGTTATGATGAATGGAGTGCTAACACTGATAGTCTCAAAGGCAATGGTTGTATACTAATTTTTGGGTGTTAGAATAAATGAAAATCTGCATGTTGACGAAATCGTATGGTAGGCAGATGAATTATGTGAATTGAAATCTAGGGATAAAATAAAAACAAATATGGAGAGAGTATGATGTAGTGAGGTTTGCACGAACATATCTGCTCTAAGCGTGCACACAGAAACAGGATAGAATGCACACAGGAGGCCATAGATTGGACACATGTGCTTTCACAGATTTGTTTCTTATATTGTACATAATACTAACAGTGCTGCCATTGGCGTATAAGTGTACTATTATTTGACCAAAACTCGCATTTCTGATTTATTGGAGCACAACATAGTGGAGAAGAAGCAACAGAGTGCAACATAGCCGTATTACCCGACGGAACGAAGTAGTGGTTACCTAATTGCAAAAGCGAAAACGCCTTGTACGTTGGGGAAAATTTTGCATCACTAGAAAATGGAGTAGACTTCTACCGGGCATACGCAACCATCGCCTGAAGCGAAGGAACAGGGAAGGGGCAGTTCACATAAAATACATTTTATTTTCACGAGAAGGATACAAGCCAAAAAAATAATGGGTAGTAGTGTGGCCATGGACAAAGGAACCAAAACCGAACCGAAGAAAAGGCGTCGACTGTCAAACCGTGTTGGTTGTAATGCCCGAATCGGGTTCACAAGGCACACAAGCGGTAGATATAAAATCCATGCACTTGAGCTATGGCACACACACTACCTATGCTCTGACATTAGGAGGCCATTTCTTAAATAAATAGGAAGCTAGATATTGGACACAAAATATTCGTGGCAAACTGCGCAAGGGCAAACATTGGTTCCACAAAATCATGGAGGCTATACAAGGAAAAGGTTGGAAGTTTTTCAGATATAGGAGCAACATCCACCGATTTCTACAATTTTAGGAGGGACTTGTTGGCTTATATTGCTGGAGCAGATGCACAGATGGTAGTAGAAGACATGTACAAAAATAAAGAGATGGAACCAAACTTCTACTTTGATTTTGATCTCAACGAAGATAGGGAGCTATGCAGGCTATTTTGGGCAGACACAATATCCTGGAAGAATTTTGCATGTTTTGGAGATGTGATGTCATTCGACGCAACGTACAACACGAACAGGTACATATCACAACGATTAAAATAGTCGAATTTAATAACAATGTTTTACAATAAGTGTTAATAAACACATGCGTGCATGGCTGCTTAAGACTGTATGCGTGGAATGCACATGACATATTTTACTTTAACACTGGGAATAAGGTGGGTGCACAGCTATGCATGTCTGTGTGCATGGAGATCAATACAGCTGAATTGTATGCGATTGTGTGACACCTTGTATTTTCCTAAAATAAATTATAGTCCCGATAATAAATATTTTTAATAAAAATATTTATATAGCTATTTATTTTAAAACGGGCTCGGGTCTACCTATTATGGTGAACCAATATTTTTGTACAAATTATGCCTAGACCCAAAATGATTTTAACCCCTAAAGCCTATTATTTATTCTTGAACCCAAAAGTATTTCTTATAGCCTTGAACCCAACTAGTCAAGCCCAAATGTTTGTATAAAAATATGTGTTATGATTATTTGGTGAGCCCAAGATTTTAGCCTATAGTCCATACTTGGTCTAACCCAACCCACTATGAACCCTATTCTCTATGGTGAGCATGTATGTATTGTATCTTTCTCCTTCTACCCTCTTGGAACCAAAAGCTTGCAGCCTACATTTTCGCCTCCTACGTTTCTTCCTCGGCGAAGTCTCAACCGGCAAGCACCACATGCGATACCATCATCTTTCCTCTTCCCTTCACCCTCACCATTCCACCCTCCTCGACTTTAACCTCATCGTACCCTCTCCGTTTCCTTTCAGCGTGAGTGGATAGGAACCAGAGTATGAGAGAAGCAACAACGTAAGCTCCGGCCTCTCCTTTTCCCTTCGGTTTTCCAGCGTAGTCTTGCAAGGTTCGTGGAAGTGGCTTGGATCCTCAGTGCGGACAGAGCAACCTCCGGTGTGTCTTCCTCTGTTTCCTCTCGTGGTTGAAGAAATGGAGCGGTGATGTTTCGATGATGGAGCGGCGGCGACGGCGGCGGTATCGACGGAGCTCGGCAGTGGCGTTCTCCTCCTTCCGACGAGTCCCCTCGGGCAACGTGGTGGCTCCGGTGTACCCGCGGGCAGAGGATGGGGTGGTGACGTGCCCGTCGCCTACCCGCGGCTTCTCGGCATGCAGTACGTGAAGAAGAAGATGAAGTTGGTGAGCTTTGCCTATCCTTGTTGCTTATTTGATGTTAAATAGGTTGTTGTTAATTAGTGTTACCAAGTGGTCAATTAGTGTAGTGGTAAGAAGTATTTAGTGTTGGTGTTCAGGGCCGTCCCTGGGCAAGTCTGCCCAGGGCTGGCGCACAGGGCCCCGAAATTTTGGGGGCCCCTTAATTATAAAAAAAAAAACATAATATATGTATTAGGCTTTAAGCTTCAGGTCGTCTTCCGTCGATGGCCGGAGGGACTAAATCGACTAAAAATAATTGATTTCAGGGACCAAATTGACGACCGGAGGGACTAAATCGATTAAAAATAATTATTTTTGTGGACCAAATCGATGAATAAGCGATTGAGGACTACATTAAAAGTTCGCTAATAATTGAGGGACCAAATCGTTCATTAACTCTTTAAAATTTTAACACAACTTTTTGAACAATTATTATTTATATATAAAAGTTACTTGAAAAAGGGGGGTCCAAATCAAAATATTGCACAGGACCCCAATTTTTATTAGAACGGCCCTGTTGGTGTTTGGCTATGGTTTGAATCTCACTTTGGTTTTTAGTTAATAGTTTCATTAGAGAGCTTGGTTATTAGCTTATTTAGTCTTAATAATGCTTAGTTGTCTAGATTAGCTTTTGGTTTAATAATGTTGTGATTAATTCACAATAGGAAGCTTAGTTTAGATGGTTGAGCTTAGGGGTTAATCTTGAGTTAAGCAAGGGTTCAAATCCCCTTAGTGGTTATTAATGTTTTAATAATAGCTTGTGTTAATAGTTGAAGGATCGGTTTGATTCACAGGTTCCCGGTAGCTTGGCTTTGTGATTTGAGCCTAAGTGGTGTGGTTTTTGGATGTTAAGCGAATGAGGTAACCCATGCTCTACAAAATCTATTTTGCTTACCTATATATGATTTCTTGGATTCTACATGTGTTTTGCTATGAAATGTGAGTGTTTATGCATTGTCTTGTGAAAATGCATATCTAGAG